TCCCTTCTCTCTCTTTCGCTCTCCCTTCCAAACCCCAGGCTTATTGCGGGGACGTGTCTGCAGCACCTGGGGACCGGAGCTGTCCTTCCCCTGTGCAGGCGGGCACCACCTCCTCCTGGGTGTGAGGAGGAGGGGCCTGCCATAGGTTCTGGGCATGTGAGGTGCAGGGTGGCGGCCAGCGGGTGCAGGGTGCGTGCAGAAACCTGATGCTGGGAGGGTCCGGTGTCTGGAAGGCTCTTAAGAGTGAGTGGGGAGAAGCCCGTAGGGGCTCTTCGTAGACTCCTCTCCCCGCCCGGACGGTCGCGGCAGAGTTGACTTTCAACGCCTCCTCTGCATGGTGCCAAACTCCTGTCTCCGGGAGCAGACGATGGCAAAAGGACGCAGTCACAGCTCCGCCTGGGTCTTACTCTCCCCTCTCTCTCTCCAGATTGAGTTTGTGACGGGCACCAAGAAGGGCACCACAACCAACGCCACGGCCCCGACCACCACTACGGCCAGCACCCCCCCCGGCCGCCCCCGCCGTGGCAGGTAGACAGCGCTTGTCCCGCTCCTGTGCTGCTCTCCAGCCACCTAGACGGAGCAAGGGTTCCCCACTTGTCGAGGGGTGGACAGCACGTGGCGTCTGGGTGGGCCCCAGCTCCCCGCTCCTTTGCACCTTCTGGGCCAGGGCCCTTTAGGACTGCAAGGGAGAGGGTGCTGCTCTCTGGTTGAGGTTGACCCCAACTCCTCTCGACTTCACCTCCAGATGCCCAAAAGAGAAAGAGCAAGTGGGACTCAGCGATCCCGGTGACGACGATAGCCCAGCCCACCATCCTCACCACCACGGCAACCCTGCCCGCCGTCGTCACAGTCACCACCAGTGCCAGCGGCTCCAAGACCACCGTCATCTCTGCCGTGGGCACGATCGTGAAGAAGGCCAAGCAGTGAGTGGCCTCAGGTCGCCGAGGGCCTTGGGACCTGCAGGACCGTGTGGCCCAGTGGCAACTGCCCACTGGGAGGAGCCACTCTGTACATTTCAGGACTGGGACCTGCTCCCCAGGTGGCAGCTAAGAGGCACCTCTGTGGCATTCCAGCCAGAAGGACATCGCTGCAGAGGAGGGGCGCTGCGATGGGGCCTGCCACCCCATTAAGTGTGCCGTGTTCCCACATCCTGGTACCTTACCGCACGGGGCTCCCCTGTGGTCTCTTTTCAGGCAGATGCAAAAGCTCAGGTGCCCTCTCTGTCAGGACTGGGATTACTCGCCTGGGGTTGGCAGTGGGCTAACGGGCTTGTGGCCCTGCCCAAGTGATGCCTGTTGGCATGGGCGGGGTGAGCCCCGTGTTTCTGCCATCTGCTACCCTGGCCCCGAAACCCAGCTGGTTCTCAGGCAAGAGCGGAGGCCTCTGCTCCTTTGGGTGCCGTGGAGCACACCCAAGACTGCTTGGTGGACACACCGGGCTTTGGAAGTCCGCCAGTGACCATGGCTGGGGTGAGAGCCTTGACACACATAGGCAAGGAGAGGTGTCGGCACTTGGCCGAAGCTGCCCTGTCCTTCAGTGCCCAGCAAGGCAGTGGGCAGGACCTGAGCAGTGGGGGGATGAGTCACCCGCTCCAGCCAACAGCAGCTCATTGTTTACGGGGACCTGTGCCTGGGAGGGCTCATGGCACCCCACCCTTCCTCTGTGTGTTATCTCTGCCCCACAGCAGTCCTGGGCAGCGCTGGTGGCCACCAGGTTCCTCTTGGGGCCAAAGCAGGCTTCCCAGCCACTGCCAGCTGAGTCCAGAGGGGGCCGTCCACCATCCTCGCCCTTGGCAGCTCTCCCTGCCCTCTGCGTGGAAGGAAGGGCTGAGTGTCGGGAGAGGAAGCCAGGCCGTGAAGGCTGCAGGGCTGCCGGGAGGGTGGGCTTGAAGTTGCACCTGCACTGTTGAGGCACAACCAGACGGATGTGGTGGACTCTGTCCTTGGCATCCCCAGATGAGGGGTGTCACACTTGCACCACCACACACACTCACACTCCTCCGTGACGGGTCTTTGCAGCCCTGGGAGAAGAGCTTCCTGCCCTGCAGCCTCCACCAGGGCCCCTCTCTCCTCACTAGCCGGGAGCATGGGAGCCTTTGTAGGCGGCGGTGTGGCTCAGTGGGAAGAGCAACACACTATGTGGTCTTGGGCCCGTGCCCCCGTGAGCCTGTTTCCTTCTCTGTCAAATCATGGCAATAAAGTGTCAGAAGGCGGTTGTGAGCAACCGGGGAGGTGATTCCTGCAAAGGCTTCATTAACTAAAACACTAGATGTTTACCGTCAACCCATCCAGTTTTCTTTGGTTTTAGACCAAGCAGAGAAAGAAGGAACTGCTAGAAACGGTCAGATTGGCCAGGAGGAGCTGATGATGGCCCAGGCTCTGCCCCACCTATGGCTCGGAGCGGGGGTGGGCAGGGGCGTGCTTGAGGCATCTTTCCCTTCTGTCATTTGCTGCCCTCCCCAGCACTGTCACCAGGCTGTCCCATGGGGGTCCTGAGCTGGAAATGCTGTTCCTCTGAGCAGCCTTGCCAGTTGGATCAAGGTCTTCAATCATGCTGAGCTCCACTGCAAAGTGAGGCCTGCCCACCGTGCCCACCGAGGGTGGCCCAGAGGCATATTAGTGGTTTCTGCAGGGACCCAACGTCCCAGCAACTAGTGACCAAAGTTGTTCTTACGTTTGTGAAAGAAGTTGGTGGTTTGTTTTTTAAAAAATAATTTTATTTAACTTTATTTATTTACTTATTTTAATTTGACCAGAGAGGAACAGAGAGAGAGAGCAAGAGTATGAAAGCAAGCTGTAAGGTCCAGACATGAACTACGGTCGGCCACGCTGGAGTCTGGTGCCCTTAACCACCACGCCACCTGCTGGCCCTGAGGGAAGTTTTTTGGCAGGCGCTCACCATGTTGGGCCCAAGAAGGGCAACAGCTTGAACTGAGGCAGTAATCACAGGGCGGAGGACGGGTTGGGAGAGCACACAGCTCTGGCCCCAGCTGGGACATGTCAGCACCCACGACTAGAAGATTTGAATAATGCCTGGCTAGCATGGTGGTAAAGGCTCTAGACTTCCACATGGCTGACCATGGTTCCAGTCTCAGACCCCCAGGCTTAGATACCACATGGGCGTGTGTATGTGCGTCTGTCTGTCTGTCTGTCTCCAAGATCCCTGGAAGAGGGGATTGTGGTGTGGCCCCCCTGGGGGGATTTCCTCACTTTTTCTCTCTAGCAAGCGTACACATCCTATGGAAAAAAACTAAAATAGGGAAATAGGCCTTTTCTACCTCTTGTCCGTGGGAAGGATCTAGAAGCAAGGAGCATGTGTCACACATGGCCTGATCTCTCAGACCATTCCTCACTAAAAGGAACCAGAGCTGCCTTGAGAAATGGCCAGTCTCAAAATTCGCATGGGACTCAGGCCGATTGCCCCAGGAAGTAGGGCAGACTCAAGTGTCTTGAAGGTCAGAAGCCATTTGTGGTCAAATGTGTAACTGTAAAGAAGGAATGACAAAAGCCACTCCTGGGATCTAGCAGTTAGCGTAATGGCTATGTCGCTGGACTCCCACGTAGTCGACCGCGGTTCGCGTCCCGGACCTGGTGGCTTAGAACTCACGCCGGGCGCGTGTGCGTGCATGCCCAAGATCCCAAGAGGAGAATGGAGGAGAAGGGATTGCAGCGTGACCATCCCCTCTGGGGGGTGATTTCTCGCTTTCTGTCTCTATGTCTCTCTCTGTCTGGCGAGCGCACACGCCCTATAGCGAAAACCTCTCAAAAAAAATAAATAAATAAATAAATAAAAATTTTTAAAAAAAGCCACTCCTGTGACCAGTTGGTTAGAGGAGATAGATTCTACATGACCAACTGCAGTTCAAATCCTAGCCCTGACAGCTTGAAAACGTGCCAGGTGTGTGTGAGTGTGTGCCCCAAATCCCAACAGGGCAGAGAAATGGAGCATCGTCACCCCTTTCTACAGTACGCATTAGTCACAAAACAAAAATGGGATTTTTACATTGGAAGATACGATGTCACTCCCTTGACCAAGCGAAGGCCTTGAGCAGCACCAGTAGGAAGACATCCGACACTGAGTACCACCTAGCATGGCACGGCACCGCCTTGGACCACCCATGCCGAAAGCGACTAACCCACACATCCCAGCCCTTCAGACCTAGCCTCTAGTTTACTGGGAACTAAAGAACAGGTCCTTGACTCCCCGGGAAGCAATCAGGCAAGTCTAGAAAAAAAGGGACATTTTGTGGGACAACTGGCCCGTTTCTTTGAAAGGTTAGTCTGGTATGCCAGCTGTGGCAGCACATCCCTGTAGTTCCAGCTATTCAGGAGGCTGAAGCTGGAAGGTTGCGAGTTCAAGGCCAGCCTGGACATCAGGAGATCCTATCTGCATAAAAGATAAGGCAGCGTGGGAGGGAGGGTTTTCAGAGACAGAGAGTAAAAAGAAATTACAGAAAATTCAAAGGGAAGCTATTATGATCGTTTTGGCAACAACGAAGATGTGAACAGACTCACATTAGTGCGGATATCATTGTTAATTTTCTTAGCTGTGATACGGTTATATTGGGGACATTCTCGGGAGACACGCTAGAATACTAAAAGATGATATGTCACATTGCAACTTAAATACAAAAATACCTGGAGACTTCAGACAGTTCATAGAAAATGGAAGTACAGTGTGAGATTGTTTTGTTTCTGTCATATGTGTGTGTGTGTTTTGTTTCTGTCATATGTGTGTGTGTGTATAATTTTATTCATTTTAATTTGACCAGAGAGACACAGAGGGGGGGAGGAGTGAGAGAGCAAGCCACCGGGTCCAGGGTCAGCCATGTGGGAATGCCCAGCACCTTAACCACCGCGCCACCTGCCGGTCCCTTGTTTCTGTTCTTTATCCACGAGAGAGCACCTGGATGTGTATTTGAGAGAGAGGAGCACTCTTGCTGGGGTCCTGTCACGCCAGGATCCTCTTCCTCATGCCTTCCAGCTCATTGGATCTTGGATACTGCTGCATGAGCCCAGCATGTTTCAGGCTGAGTGGGCTGGGGATTCGAACGTGGTTGCCGTGTGGGATCCAACTTCTCTTGAAAAGTGTGTTGCCACTGCATTACCACTGCCATGGAGCTGGTCCAGTACAAGTTCATTTTGGTGCCCAAAATTTTGAAATCCACATATCACTTTTGTTCTTGTAATTTGTTTAAATTTCTTCCATGGGCAAGAGCTGGAGAGAGAGAGAGCACCCGAGAGGAGACTGAAGGAGAAGGAATTGTGGTGTGACCATCCCCTGGGAGGTGATTTCTTGCTTTTTGTCTCTGTCTCTCTGATGTGTGCATGCACCCTATAGCAAAAATCTCTCTTAAAAATAAATTGTTGAAGGGCCAGCAAGTGGCATGGTGGTTAAGGGCTCTGGACTCCCACATGGCCGACACGGTTCAAGTCTCGAACCTGGTGGCTTGCTTTCTCACTTCCTCTCTCTCTCTCTCTCTGTGTCTCTAATCAAACTGGAAAATAATAATAAATAAAGTTAAATAAAAATAATTCTTAAAACAAAATAAAATAAATTGTTGGAGGACCAGGAGTTGGCATAATGGCTATGTTGTTGGACTCCCACTAGTCGACCGTGGTTTGAGTCCCGGACCCGATGGCTTAAACTCATGCCAGGCGCTTATGCGTGCGTGCCCAAGATCCGAGAAAAGAATGGAGAAGGGATTGCGGCGTGGCCATCCCCCCTGGAGGGTGATTTCTTGCTTTCTGTCTCTCTGTCTTTCTGATGAGCACACACGCCCTATAGCAAAAACCTCTTCAAAAAATAATAATAATTTTTTTTTTTGAGAGGTTTTCGCTATAGGGCGCGTGCGCTTGCCAGACAGACAGAGACATAGAGACAGAAAGCGAGAAATCACCCCCCGAGGGGGATGGTCACGCCGCAATCCCTTCTCCATTCTCCTCTTGGGATCTTGGGCACGCACACACACGCGTCCTGCGTGAGATTTAAGCTACCGGGTCCGAGACGCGAACCGCGGTCGACTACGTGGGAGTCCAGTGACATAGCCATTACGCTAACTGCTGGTTCCCAAAAAATAAATAATTGTTTTTAAGGAGCCACTTTAAAAAAAGGTTCACAGTGCATAGGAAGCCGGATCCTGCGTGCTGACTGTGGTTCCAGTCTCATCCCGGCAGCCTGTAAAGCGCACGGGCACAAGTGGTGCATGCCTCAAATGCCGACAGGATGGACCCGGGGAAAAAGGACTGCAGCGTGGCCATGCCCCACTGGTGAGTGCTTTTTCTCTCTCATTCTTGCTCCCTGCACGTGGTGAGCACATGCACCTCTGGCAATTGAAAAACAAAAAATGAAAACAAAAAGGATGGTGGCTCACCTGGGACATCCCTTGAAAATACACAGCCCACTCTGGAGACCCAGGGTTTACACCAGGAGCTCATTACATGCTTATGAGATGAATCAGTACTTGAGATAATCAATAGTTTGCCCGAGTGAGCACAGGGAGCAACTGGGAGCAGCAGACGAAGTTCAGCAGCTTCTTCCCGTCCTGGGACCTTGCTCTTGCAGGATGACATGTAGGATTTTATTTTCATAAAACTAACATGTAGGGGCCAGTGGGTGATGTGGAGGTTAGGGCAGCTGGATCCCATATGGCCGACTATGCAGTTCAAGTCCTGGATCAGCTGTGACTTGAAAAAAACACTGGGTGTGTGTGTGTGTGTGTGTGTGTGTGTGTGTCCAAAATCTCAAGAGAATGGAAGAGAAGGGATTGTAGTGTGGCCATCTTCCCTGGGGGGCGCTTTATCACTTTGTCTCTCTCTCGCAAGTGCACACATCCCATGGCCACACTGGACGGAGGAGAGGAAAGGGGAAGGGAGGGAGGCAGGGAGGGAGAGAGGAAGAAAAAATTACCACGTAGTGTAGTGATTCTTGACCCAGGGGTCTACTTGAGCATCCGATGTAAGCTAAGGGTCCTCTTCCCAGCATACTGCACTCCTATACCAGATACACCTCACATTTTGCACTCAGATGGTTCCCAGTCACCCCAAGGTCTACACACAGGCTCCAGGTAACAGCCCTGGACTCCAAGAAGCCTGAGTAATCTCATGGCTTGTCTTGGCAAAACCTGCCCATCGCCTCGGCTGCTGCAGAGTTCCAGCTCCTCCTCATTTTCAGGAGGGTTTGGCAACAAGAAGAGCTGGTGGGTTCTGGGTCTTCTCTCGGAAGGTGCCTCTGCAGCCCCCGCCACTCCCAGGTGTCTGTGGTCCACCCAGGCCTCTAATGAACGGTGCCGGCTGGCACCAGCTCCTCAGGCAGGCTGGGTTCGGCTGCTCTCCAAGCTGCTCATGCCAAGGTTTTCTGGGGTGGACTGGGCCGGAGTGGCTGGTCCACGGGCATTGGTGCTGGTTTGGCACATGTGGACCTGAGCACTTCAGCCAAACTGGAGCTTTCCTCAGTGTCCCCAAATCCAGGACTGAGCCTTTCTGCGTTCAGCCTGGGTAGAACAGCTCTCAGACAACTGCCAAGATGGCTGAGTGGTGACCGTGGCTCACGTGTGCAGGGAGCACTCCCACAGTCACCGAGAGCTGGCAGCACACGAGTCTGCAAGGGGAGCAGAGGCTCAGGGAGGCTCTGTAACAATCCTGTTCAGTCCAAGCAAACTTTTATTGGACACCTGCTAGGTTCTCGGCACCGTACAAGGTGCTGGGGTAAAAAGCTGTGCTAGAGGCCCAGCCCAGAAGGGCACAAGTGGGAGGGCACCACTGCATGGTAGTTGAGGCTGCTTCAGAGGCCTGGGTTCAGTTCCCAGCCCAACCTAGACAGGACAGGCATGATGGTACAAACCTGTGGTCTCGGCCATCTGGGAGTCTGGGGCAGAGGAGTGCAACCTGGCAAGGCCCTGTCAAAAATACCTGTCTTGGGGACCAGCAGTTGACGTAATGGCTATGTCGCTGGACTCTCACGTAGTCAACCGCGGTTCGAGTCCTGGACCCAATGGGTTAAACTCACGCCGGGCGTGTGTGCATGCGTGCTGAAGATCCCGAGAGGAGAATGGAGAAGGGATTGCGGCGTGGCCATCCCCCCTGGGGGGTGATTTCTCGCTTTCTGTCTCTCTGTCTCTGTCTGCACGCGCCCTAAAGCATAATCCTCTCCAAAAAAAGAAGAAAAAAATATACATATATACCTGTCTTGGGGCTGGCAGGTGATGTGGTGGTTAAAGACATTGGACTCCCACATGGCAGGCCCCAGTTCAAGTCCTGGACCTGGTGGCTTGCTTTCATACTTTCCCTCTCTCTGTCTGATCAATCCGGAAAATAATAATAATAATAAATAAAGTTAAATAAAATAACTCTTAAAAAAAAAAAAACTGTCTTAGGGGCCAGCAGGTGGCATAACAGTTAAGGCGCTAGACTCTCACATGGTTGACCATGGTTCAAGTCCCAGACCCGACAGCTTGAAACTCAAGCTAGGTGCATACGTGCCTAAAATTTTGAAAGGAACATGGAGGAAGAGGGATTGTGGAATGGCTATACGTGCTGGGAGGTAATTTCTCACTTTCTCTCTCTCCTCTCTCCAGTAAGTACATGCACCCTATAGCAAAAATCCCTCTTTAAAAAAATAAATAAAAAAACATGGGGACCAGCAGGTGGTGTGTGGTGATGGTTACGGCACTGGACACTCCCACATGGCCGACCACAGTTCAAGTTCTGGACCTGGTGGCTTGCTTTCTCACTTTCTCTCTCTTTTTTCTCTCTCTTTCCCTCTCTGGTCAAATTTAAGTAAATAAATAAAGTTAAATAAAATCTTTTTAAAAATGAATGGATGAAAAAACTAATCATTTAAAAAAAAAACTCTCTCCCTACCCCTGCCATGTGCTCTTTTGAAAAAAAAAAAAATTCTACAAAATGTCTCTTCTTGCGGGTCACAACCCAATGGGATGAAGAGACCCCTAAGCAGGTCATTTCAGACCACGGTGGCAAATGCCGTAACAGAGCCCTGTCCCAAGTGCTATTGGGGACACATCAACCCAGAGGGCAGGAATGTTGAGGAAGGCCCTGGAGCTGGCCTCGACAGCACAATCTCTTCGAGCATAAGGATAACCCAGGCTAGCTGGAGGAAAGGGCCTTCCAAACCGAGGGACCAGACGGTACCAAAGCGTGGAGGCTGGAAGCTGCAGGGCAGGGCAGGGGCTGCCCGACTGGACACTCCCTGGCAGCCAGTGGGTTGTGGCTACAGAAAAACAGCATTTGGGGCCAAGAAGTTCCTGGAGAGACACCTGAACGCTGTAGCCAGTGGCACTTGAGACTGTAGGGAAGGACCAACAGGAGGCCTGGTCAGGTTTGCCAATCAACTTGTCAAGGACGCCTGTAACAGTCCATGAGGACCGCTCCAGCTGGTCTGCGCCGGCCTCTCCTCTCTGTGGGGTTGTCACTCACCTCTTAATGAGGTCTAAGTGGCCTGCTCAAGGACGCACCCTGGGCTCAGCCTTTGCTCAGGTCTCTCTTTACACAACGTGAAGGGTGGGGTGTGAGAACCAGCACCCAGGGAATAGCAGAGCAGAGCTGGGACCTGGCAGCAGGCCTCCCGACCCAGCCTGGGGCAATCTCTGGGCCCGTCCTCGGTGCTGGCCCCGGAAGGAGGGAGAGCGTTGAGCGCAGCTCATGGCAGCCGGGGCAGCGGCAGCACAGCCAGGCGGTGGCTCACCGCCCAGGGTCTGGGGGCAAGAGGGCTCCAGTCCTGGCAGAGGGCTAGGCGGCCGCCTCCGGCCTGGGGCAGCCCGGGCCCCCGAGCCTGGAACCCGGCGCCGGGAG